CACACGAGTACATACGAGTAACATACGAGCAACACACAGGTACATACGAGTACATACGAGTAACATGCGAGTACATACGAGTAACACACGAGTACATACGAGTAAAACACAAGTACATACGAGTAGGATACGAGTAAAATACGACTAGTAAACTTGTTTTTAGTGTTTGTAGATTGAATACAGGCAAAAAGATTGTCTTTTCTGTCGAAAAACGTGAAATAGACTGAAACCGGCTATCTTTAAAACCCGGAACGGGGAATGGGGGGACGGGGAATGGGAGAACGGGAAGTGGGGGAACGGAGGGAATGGAGGGGCGAGGGAGAAAATAGGAGACAGGGGGCGGGGGAGGTCTGCCAGATTCTATAAACCACAACTTTGTAGTTTGTACAACATCTACTTTTAGGTATTCTACCTAGATGGTTAGATAGATGACACAAACCATAGGCTTCACATATTTCACGGCATGGTTTATTGGTTTGCTTTCAAAACCCTGTGAGCATGCACAAAACCTAACTCACTAACTGCATCTATATAAATAGTTGTCGAATAAAGCTCAATATTTTGGACTCAAAAATGTAAACAAAGACTTTGTTTACATACGGACTGTAGATCACCTTTAACAATAATTTATCCATTACTTATTATTAAAGGGGGATAGCAATGGCCGTGGGTCACGTGTGTGGCCGACATACCGCGAATGAATAGGGGGGTCTGGAGGCATTAACTCCCCAGAAAATTTTTGAAATTTCAAGCCCAAAAATGCCATTTCCTGCCGTCTGAGCATCTAAATTTTCTAGAATTTATCCTAACTAACTTCTATTTGAAATAAAAGAAGGAAAAAACACACAAAGAATTTTAAAAATATTAACAATAATTTATCATTATACTTAGTGTTAGAAACACGTAGGATGCCACGCGGTGACACAGTCCTTTAAATCGATTTTGTTAAACAAGGACAAAGGATAAAGCCTAAAACGTATGTTCCGTTTATCAATTTGTTATTCTTCGCTGGTTTGTTTGTATAAATTTAGGAAAAAGGGACTTTTCTGGGGAAGGGGGGCAAAATGTGATTTCGTTTTTGCGCAAGGGGAGACTGGGGGCAAATGCCTCCCCCCCCTCCTTTCCCAGCTTGTATGTTAAAGAGGCCGTGCAGGGCAAATCCAGTTTTCAAGTGAGCCTCAGAACGTGCATTTTCATTTCCGATCAGGCCTGCATCAGAGCAAAGTATCCAAGCTTTCTTGGCGACGTTCTCGTTCCTCCAGACTTTCCTCCCCTTTTCAAGGTGGAGCACGTCCAAAGGCTTGCAGGAGAGTTCGGCTGGGTCCTTTAGAAACGTACTTGCCAACTTAAATTGCTAACTTAAAATCTGCGTATTTTGAAGTATTTTGTGTTTTGTTAGTTTGCTTTGTAAGATATTTAAAATAGGATAATCACTTTAAGATATCATATGGAGCATAAGGACTGCCTTGGGCTTGCATCTAGTCCTTAAGTTTGTTTTATTATATAGCAAGTATATTAGTAATGACATAAGCAATGTTATTATTATTAATATTACTTAATGACCGGACATAAGCAATGTGGATTGACTTTTTTATGATACGCTGTACTAATAAAGGAAAGCTTCAATAAATTTCTTTACTAGCTTTAATTCATTGAGCGGTTTTCTAATTCCCAAGACACCAGAGTCCGTTTTATAGTTTCGTAATTCCCTGATTCCCGTTTATCCTGTCGAATTTCTGTTTCTTTTTTTCTGTTCTTTTCCCCCCGTACATATGATTAATATTACGTATTAATAATAATTCATAATTGCTCGATCCCCCCCCCCGTTACTCGTTCCTCCATTCCCCGTTCTCCGTTCCCTCCATTCCCTGTTCCTCCATTCCCCGTTCCCCCATTCCGCGTTTTTCGACGGAAAAGACGATCTTTTTGCCTGTATTCAATCTACAAACACTAAAAACAAGTTTACTAGTCGTATTTTACTCGTATGTACTCGTATTCTACTCGTATGTACTTGTGTTTTACTCGTATGTTACTCGTATGTACTCGTGTGTTACTCGTATGTACTCGTATGTTACTCGTATGTACTTGTGTGTTACTCGTATGTACTCGTATGTACTCGTGTGTTACTCGTATGTTACTCGTATGCACTCGTGTGGTGTTTTAGTCACGATCCGTTTTAAAGCCTTCAAAATAAAATATTTTGGGCTCAAAATAGTATCAAAATGAAGAGAAAACCCAACAATTCCGAAGTTATCAAGGATCAAACGGACTGCATTTTTAATTAGTTTAGTAATTTTGAGCGATTTGTAAACAATACAATTTCGCTTATTAAAACTGCACATTAAAAGCTTCAAAATATAATATTTTGGGCTCAAACTACTAACAAAATAAAGAGAAAAGCGAGACGAATCCACTGGTATACGGCCGAAAAAGAGAAAACCAACAATACGAAAGTTATCAAGGTCAAATGTATTGCACTTTTAATTATGTTTAATAATTTTGAGCGATTTGTGAACAATACAATTTCGCTTGTCTTTCAAAGGCCATAAATCGCTAGAATACTGTAGTTTAGTAATACATTTGACATCTGTGAGTATAATTTCTTACACTGAATCGAACGGTGGTATTTTTGTCCTTATTGGGCGCATAAAACCAGAGATAAGACGCAGCAAAAAGTCAATCGTGAGAGTTCGAGTTGTAATTCAAAAGAAAACTTTCCTCGAAAAAGGAATTAGGGAAAACGTGAAGGATTATTTTGAGCGGCTTTTGTCTTTCAAAGGCGACAAATACCTAGAATAGAAGTCAATTTTGAAATCAATTTTCCATCCGTAAACACAACTTTTCACGCTGATTCGAACAGTGGTATTTTTGTCCTTGTTTGACGCATAAAACCAAAGATAAAGCTGAGCAAACTGTCGATCATCATGAGTGTACACGATTAACTCTTTCCCGACAGGTCCCTATTAAGTAAATCACTCATGATTTACGACTTTGCAGGGTCATATCGTCAGTTGGGTGCATGCTATGTAGATGAAAATACCACCATTCTATTCAGTGAAACAATATCTCCTATACCTGTCGATAGTTTTAGTCAAATATAATTTTAGTGAAATTGTATAACAATTTATGACCTTTCGACAGGTCAAGCGGTGTCATATTTCATTATATTAATCAATTGTCTCGAACAATGTAAACTATCAATACCTTTTGCCGAACATAACTTGGCCCCTTTTGAGATATCGTTTTCGCTATAGTCTTATTCGAAACAGAATCAAAAACACTATTGAAAGTGTTATTTTCAAGCTTGTAGCCTTAGTTTTTCGTCTTTTATTTCGGTATTTCAATCTGTTGCGAAACTAATGAAATCAGCGGGATATTTTAACCGGAAATACATTTTAGATCTGCCAAAACATCGCGTGTTTACATCCTAGCGTTCGGAAAACATCGGAAATCGATTCTAAAGGTCAAATTACATCTGAAGCGTGCTTTTCACGTGCACTGGGCTACGGGAGACCCCTTATTGGCCAATTTTACATGCAGCACGCGCGTGCGAGTAAAAACCCGATATTTTGAAAAAAACAAAATAAACATTTCTACTCGCCGTATTCAAACGAAACTTTCTACATAAAAGCGCTTGAATACAAGGAATATTTCACTAACATTAACTTGCGGCGAATACTGAAGAGTTTAGAAAATATTCAACATTTTCTCCATATGAAAATACAGAATGTTTGGCCAAGCGGTGAGTAAATATATGATTGTTTCGGTTTGTGTATTTGTTTTGACGGCATTAGACCCCCCGATGAAAAGCTTATTTTGTTAAGATTTCAATGGTGTTCTTTGTTTTTAAGGGGGGTGAATACGCACTGAAATATTTACGTTATAAAACAGTTGAATCAAAATATTGCTTGCCGTGAAAAATGTCACATGTCGAGAAAGAGTTTTAATAATAATTAATAAATTCCGAGCACGTGCAAGGAATTTTTGGTAGGCGATTAAGGAAACGTATTGATGCGAACAAACTAACAAACAAACAAACAAACAAACGGACAAACGGACAAACTCACAGGCAGAATATAATGCGGTGCCAAAAATGGCACGGGCACCGCAATCAAGGTTGCCCTAATTGCATAGTATAGGGTTGAAAAGTTGCCAATGATAAAGTGGTGATTTCTGCCTTCTGCTTTATGTTGTCAAATTATTGATTTCCTTTGGATAAATCTACCGTATATACCGCTGAAACTGTTCTATACGAACTCTCTTGCTCCTCATTCCCTTATCTATTACACCATAGCCAATCTCGTTCCCCGAACCTGCGATCCTCGGGAAGAAAACGAAGGCTCTGGGATAATCCGTTGCCGAAAGCCAGGAATTCTGGCTAAGATTGAACTGCACATTCCATATCAACGGCCAATCAGATTCCTCCTTGAAACGGAATATCCCAGAGCCGTCGTTTCCTTCCCAAGGACCGCAGGCTCAGGGAACGAGATTGCACTATAGCGCGCATGTCATCATTTTCAGGTCAGTGTGAACGCCTGAGTAGGCGTCTTGTTACACTGACCTGAAAGGTCAAGTGTCTTAAATCCCTAGTTTTCTGTTTTCTGTTTTTTCCGTCGTCGAGAAATCGAGTTTGCGTTCGCGCATCGCAGGCTCAGGGTGCAACGATTAATCCAAAATGCCATCGATTCTTTGACTCCACGATTCATATATAATAGTAAGAAGCTGGTATTTATGTACGTAATAGTCGGCTCATGTCATGCTTGCGGTGCATTTTTCGTTTATTAGCCCATATATAGACCTATATGGACTTATACGCACGCGCACAATTCCGAACTCCAATGGTGACATATTCAGTCCAGTTTCAAAATGGCGCCTTTTGGGCTTTGGCTGAGCGATCAGAAAATATTTCAAACAGTTTCGTTGAATTTTCAAAGAGTTGTGCCGGTTTCCTATGGATTTTACGTTGTGTCGCACTCTGAACTTTCTTGCGTGTTGAACTAATATGTTTTTCTTCGTGTAACGACTCGAAAACCCAAAGTTTGGACCCAGCGAATTTTACAAAGGACAAGTTAAAGGTTCGACAGTTTGACTTTTTAACTAATAAACAACCGTCTATAAATATACGTTGTAGAGTCATAAGCATCCGTGGTGTAGTTGTGTTAATTTTTTGTCGCACTCTGGACTTTTCTGCATGTTGAATTAATGTTTTTATTTTTGTATTATACGATTCTAAAATTTGGCTTTGAAAATTTGGCCGACCCGGCGGATTTATGCAATCAATATGTTGTATTAAACGACTCGAAAACCCCAAAATTTGGACCCGACGCGAATTTGTACAATATAGTGGAATATAAGCAAGTACAAGGTAAAGATTCTACAGTTTATTTTGATTTATTGTATGGTACTCATTTGTCTAATACAATAACATTTAGTTCACAAGGGCAAGTTAAAGGTTTGACCATATTAAAATACATGTATTGAAATTCGCGCAATAGCTACTAGAATTCGCGCAAGTAAAGATAAAGCGAGCGTTCAAAATACCAAAAAGAACTAAGGCATTTATTGTATGGTTCTCATTTGCCTAATAGAATAACATTTAGTTCACAATATAATATAAACACAATATAAACAAGGAAAAGTTAAAGGTTTGACAGTTTCACAACACAACGTCGACAATATACCTTAATACATGTATTAAAATTCGCGCAGTAGCTACTAGTTGGCGCGCCAAACGCTTTGTGGTAGCTATACTAAGGATAAAGCGTGCCTTCAAAATACCTACAAGAACTAAGACATTTATTGTATGGTTCTCATTTGCCTAATACAATAACATTTAGCTCGACGCGAATTTTAACTATAGTATCATATTTCATAATATAATGAACAATGTAAACTAGCCAATTCTTTCACCTACAAAATGTCGACAATATACCTTAATACATGTATTAAAATTCGCGCAGTAGCTACTAGAGTTCGAGCAAGTAGTGAAGATAAAGCTTGCATTCAAAATACCGAGACATTTATTGCATGGTTCCCATTTGCCTAATACAATAACATTTACTTCACAATATAATATAAACAAGGAATAGTCGTTCGATTTGGCTATACTGTTTGCTCGTTTTTAATGTGTATTGATCATTTCAATAATCGATTTACATATCAGTCTGCTCGATTCGAGTAAGGGTTGCCCGATTTGTATCATTGGTGATTTGGTGTTCGACTTATAACTATTGGACCTATTGAATTTTGACAGTAAAAACGCGCCATATATAATACATGTATTAAAATTCGCGCAGTAGCTACTAGCATTGGAGCAAGTAAAGATAAAGCTGTGCGTTCAGTGAAATACCAACAAGAACTAAGATATTTATTGTATGGTTCTCATTTTCCTAATACAATAACATTTAGTTCACAATATAATATAAACAAGGAAAAGTTAAAGGTTTGGCGTTTGACTACACAATGTCGGCATTATACCTTAATACATGTATTAAAATTCGCGCAGTACGTATAGCTAGTGCTACTAGCATTCCGGCGGACCTATTGAATTTTGACAGCAAAAATGCGCCATATAATACGTGTATTAATTAAAATTCGCGCAGTAGCTACTAGAATTGGCGCAAGTAAAGATAAAGCGTGCGTTCAGTGAAATACTAACAAGAACTAGAACGTTTATTGTATGGTTCTCATTTTCCTAATACAACTCGATCAACTCATAGCTATTATGTGCTTATTTGTTATCATGTGCTCATTAATTCTTATATCAATATTGGAATATGATCACGAAATACTGCGTAGCGCAAAATCTCCATTCTTCAAAAACGTATCGTTCAAGGCAACTGAAAGGCGAAGAAGACAATGATATATTGTTATCTGACTGCTTCAATACTCAGAAATGATCCACGATCATGATTTGATAAAGTTCAATATGGTCACGTGATTTTCGGTGTGAACCTGAGATACTATCTATAAATATTATTACTAAGTATCTGACATTAAACTAAATGTGATTAAAGCACAAGAGATGTTACCTATGTCTCATTTTATATTTTTATTTTTTTCCTATGAAGGTTTGTTACTTGTGCAAAAGCGCAACTTTAATTAGGTTTCAAACAGTTTCTGCCTTCTCCTTTTTGTTGTCGAATTATTGATTTTCTTTGGATAAATCTACCGCTGAAACTGTTCTATACGAACTCTCTTGCTTCCCATTCCCTTGTCTATTACACCATAGCCAATCTCGTTCCCCGAGCCTGCGATTCTCGGGAAGGAAACGAAGGTTCTAGGATAATCCGTTGCCGAAAGCCAGGAATTCTGGCTAAGATTGAACTGCACATTCCATATCAACGGCCAATCAGATTCCTCCCTGAAACGGATTATCCCAGAGCCTTCGTTTCCTTCCCAACGACCGCAGGCTCAGGGAACGAGATTGCACCATAGCACGCATATCATCATTTTCAGGTCAGTGTGAACGCCTGAGTAGGCGTCTTGTTTTGTTATTAAAAGTGATATTTGGGGGGACTTTTTCAATTTTAAAACTATTCTTAAAATTATCGTGTTACCATGACAACTACTTTCAACTCTTCATATTCAGAAAACATAATGTTTTATCAGTATTTAAAGGCGAGGGTTTCTGCATGCATGTATTTTCTAGTATAGAGATACTGTATCGCTAGAACTGAGGATTCTAGAAAACGTTATCTGTACCTTCTCAAAGTTGTAGACAAGATATGTTGTTTACGTCCAACACGCATAAGATTTCATAACTCAAAATGATTCGAGCAAAACGGTCTTTTGTTAAGAGGAAGACTGGTTAATAGAAATTGGTACTTTTGAGTGACATAGGGCGCTTTCCATTGACACGGACAGACCAGTCAGAACGGTCAAATTTTTTATTGGAACACAAAACACTTGGCCGTCTTGGGCTTCGGACCTATCTGACCGGAAAACTTACAGTAGATAACATTAGAATGAGGTCCATTTTCGCTACATATTTGTGAAACATAGACCAGATCTTTCCATTGATATCAGAGAAAAGAATTCGGGTCTGACCGGTCAGGCTATTAAATGGAAAGCGCCCTTAATCGTTTCTCGTCATCCATCCGTGTCGTTGAACAATGAAAAACTTTGTCGTGAAATTAGTGAAGATAAAATAGCAGTTTGTGAAAAAACTGCGGGTCTACGGCGGGGAACTTTTCGGATTTGAACTCAGCATGTTCGAAAGTGTTAGTTCCCGTACGTAAAAATATTTCAGTTCCAAGACATGGGAAATGAAAGTGAACGATATCAGGATGCAGCAAACGGCCTAAGCTTAAAAATCGACTTTAAAGAATCGCGGGGCAAAAATAAAATGTAGCATGATATTCAGCGTACCTTAAACTATAAAATAAGCACAATTTCAGAAAATTTTTCAGCCGTTTCATAAACACTTTAAGCTGCCGACAAATATCTTGACGTGCTCTTCGTCCAGAAGACAGGTAAAAGTATTAGCTTGCTGATGAAAGTTTGAAAACATTGACGATCAACGTTTTCGTAGTTTTTGTACAGTTTTGTAAATTATCTTGATCTTAAATGATTTGAAATCAGTATCTTGGTTTAAAACTTATTAACGAAAATTTGAAAGGACTTGTTTTAAAGTTTACGGGTTTTGGCTTACTTCCTTGGTTACATATAAAAACCTGTACTCGTCTGGTCCTTATTAGGAATGGCACTCAAAAAAGTGCAAGAGTTGCATTATCTTGGTAATTATATACCATATCTTTGTAAGATTTAGAGTAATTTTCTATACTATTTCTAAACTTTGACGATGATTTAATTTATCTTGTTGTGCATCACACAAGGCACAACAATTATACAAGATTATACTGTAATTAGCTTTCTTAGATAATGTCAACTCTCAACAGTGGTGCCTGTATAGACTATAGTCAATAGTCATATTCGCTTGTGCATTGTCCTAGACCTAGTATATATAGGAAGTCTACACAAGTTTGTTTTGTTAAACTAACAGAAAGATTTCAGCCTTCTTACTTTACATACAGTGCATATGGTATATAAAATTAAAAAACTCATTAATAATTCATGAAGAAAACACAAAGAAAAATCATAAGCGTGTCGTATCTGTATATGTGATACAGATTCATCTTGATTTACATAAACTTTAACTTTGATTTTCTCGGCTTAGACAACGTTTATTTTTAAAATTACTTCGCCAATGAACTCGTAAGATGAGTCGTTTTTTAAGTTGTTTACAACATTTGCGTCCGTGTTGTATCAGATATACAAACTCTCGCCTTCGGCTCGAGTTTGCGGTATATCTGATACAACACGGCCGCTTATGTTGTAAACATTGCAAACGGACGTGGTTTTATTATTGTATTTTGAAGCATTGTATAGTCGTATTTAGTTATCTTGGACAATAATTGTCGAAGTTCTCCTTTTATTTTTCAGGAGTTTCAGGTAGCTAATAGCATATGCAATATGTATCAGCAAAGATTAACATTCTTTAATAAGTCAACAATAAATTTAGCTGTGCAGTTTCACACTTAGAACCAAGACCGAATTACTAGTGTTATTCATTTACAGTAGTTATTTTACCTGTTGTTGTTTGAGATGAAATTAAAATTGTTGCGGGAGTAATTGTTGATATGTCTACTGAAGTCACGAACGAATTAGTGCTATAAACAGTACTATTCGGATACGCAACATTAGATGTCGTAAGACTACTCGAGCTGGCAGTTGAACCGTCGAATTTGTATTGTTGTATGACCAGAAGAAAGAGCACATCTAACCAAAGATTTCGGATATTCGCCATTCTCGCTTCCCTGCTTGACCGTATTTTGAGCCAGAGATTCAACGCGGATTGTTCTGAGAATAAACGTGTTATGCTTTAATGTGGAATGCACGTAAATTCGCAAAGTTTTAAATCATCACTGGCAAAGAGACAGTCAGATAGACAGACAATGCCAAATGAAATATGATCTCAACACTAGGCCTTGTCATTATTCGCATTACTAAGTGAGGAGATTGAGCTATCAAATATCACAGTTTATTCCGGTGAAGAATATTTTCGATTCATGGCATATCTTTTGCCTTAAGCTAATCAACGACATTAAAGGCCATTAAAGCCAATTGGAAAATTCTCAAAATGGGTGTTTTAAGGCCTGTGTCTATATAAACAGTTAAAAGTGACGAAATTATTTTAAAAAAGCGCCATTACTGGCCTCTTAGAGCGGAACTAGTACCTTATATCTTCACTAATTTTTATTGTCGGTGGTTGTTCAACACGGATTAATATCCACTAATCCACTATCGATTTTCTAACACTAAGCAAAATTACATATCAAACTATTACTTATTAAAGTGCGACTGTGACGAAAAGTCGTCATCGAGAAAATTCCCTTTTTTGCTAGCAACGACTTTATTATTGCACCAAAAATGCTTGTGTACAATTTCAGACGAACATGATTAACGACCGCGGAGTTACGAGCATTTGAAATGTCTAAAATCGCTGTCCGCCATTAAAATCCGCCATCTTGATTAATGTTGTCACGAGAGGCTTCCATTGAACTATAAATAAACTGGAAGGCTAACTCAGGGGG